GAGGAGAGAGATAATTGTAATTTGTGATTAAAATTGGAGTAGAAAGATTTGATTAATCATAGGAAGAAACAGCAAAGCTTTCTTCTTGTTGATATACTTTTAGCAGTGGTCTTAAAAGACTTGGCTCTTAGCAATCACTTTCCTGCTTCCAGTGCCAGCAGCACTTTGACTATGGATTGAACTGATGCTCTTTCATGAACTCAGGAAATTGTATGACAAGAGGAAGAAAATTTAATCTGGCTGAGCCTTTGTCTGTGCCTAGTAGACTTGTTGCTTGGTATGTAAGCCCAGCAGGTCTGACTGTGTGTGTGTGTGTGTGTGTGTGTGTGTGCGTGTGTGTGTGTGTGTGTGTGTGTGTGCACATGGTGCTGGGATGTAGATCAAACTACAGGAAACCAGGAGTATGAGACAAGGGTATTGGTAGGATGCTCAGGACATAGACAAACAATGCATATAAGAACTTATTGGGCATTGAGGTGGTATGGGAAGAATGTGATAAACACATTTAAAACAGTAGCGGAGGTCACACTTTGGAGGAAGGTTTTTAGCTTAGTTGGTGTGTGAAGAAAACATAAATGATAGAGAAATAAACAAAGAGATGGGTGAGAGGGATACTCAAATCTTTGACTCTTTTTGTGGCAGATGAATTAGCCAAACACCAAACAGAACAGATTCTGGATGTATATGCTGTTGCTATAATGCCAGTAATCCAGACTGAGTATTAGACATGGAGATAAGAATATCCAAAGAGTAGAGGAAGGATTTTGGCTTCTTCTGCAATTGTAAGATACCAGTATGTTCACATTTTCCTTAAACTGCCTATCCATTTGTCCATTAAATGCTTTTCATTGTTACCAGGGATTTCCTTGCTGGTCTTTTTGTCCCTCTCCACTACTGTGTGTGTGTGTATTTGAGCCTGTGCACATGTGCATGCATCTTGAGGTTGGAGATTAATGACAGGTGCCTTGCTCTAGTGTTCTTCATTTTAGTTTTTGAGACATGGTCTCTCACTGAACCTGAAGCTCACTGCTTTGGCTGGATTGGTTATATTTGGCTAGATTGGTTAGTCAATGAGTTCCAAGAACGTCTTCCCCTCCTGCCATCTTGCAGTGTTGGGGTTATAGATACATGCTGGCATATTCAACTTTGTTTATGTGTGCTGGGGATTTGAACTTGTGTCCTCATTCTTTCTTACACGGTAAACTCTTAACAAACTGAGCCATCTCCCCAGACCATACTGCTCTGCTTTTTTTTTTCTGGTAGGATTGTATCAAATTCGGCTAGAGGGTAATAAGAATTTGTGATTTTGTATTTAGCACATCTGTTCTGTAGGTGCAAAGTAATGCTGAGGTAAATATTTAACCGCTGTGGTTGTAAACATTCACATTGCAAGTTTGCAGTTGCCAAATGCTTTTCTAGGCTGAAAACTTAAATGTAGGAAATGCAGAAAGAGGAGTCAGCCTTATTGCCATGTCCAATAATGAAAAGGTAAGCCAGGCTATGTTTAAGAATGATCCCTGAAATGAATATTTATGAGTGCTTGATGGATGACACTCTGGAGGCCCCAGCTGATTATAGTGACACACAACTTAGTTCTGTTTGAAAGGAAAACAGAACCCTTCCTGACTGCCCCAAATGCTTTCTGTAGGCTGGAAAGATAATTTCACTCACTTTAATAGTTTCCTGACTCCTTGTAATATTCTTTTTTAAGAGACGATTAGGGAGGGACATGGTATCACCTGATAGCTAAGTTGTGTCTCCCTTGGTTGTCTGTGGTCTCTTTTGGATGTATTCTGATCCTCAACCCACAGAAAGTAAGTGTTGGAAAACCCCCCTATCTCTCTTTCTTTGTGTGTATGTGTGTGTGCATGGAGTGTGTGTGTGTGCATTTGTAGAGGCCGGATTCTAGTGTGCATGTACACAGAGTGTGTGAGTACAGGTAGGTGTGTGTGTGTGTGTGTGTGTGTGTGTGTGTGTGCATTTGTAGAGGCCTGATTCTAGTGTGCATGTACACAGAGTGTGTGAGTACAGGTAGGTGTGTGTGTGTGTGTGTGTGTGTGTATTTGTAGAGGCCGGATTCTAGTGTGCATGTACACAGAGTGCGTGAGTACAGGTAGGTGTGTGTGTGGGGGGGGTGTGCATTTGTAGAGGCCAGAAGTCAACGTCTAGTGACTCCTTAATCACTTTTTACCTTAGTTTTGAGACAGGGTCTTTCATTAGACCTGAGCTCACCTTTTTTGGCGAGTGTTTGCCCAGCAAGTCCTTGGACCTTGCCTGTTTCCATGCACTGGGATTACAGACGCCAGGCTTTGGGTGTCCAAACCCGAGTCTTCATGCTTATACAATAGGTAATTTGCCCTCGAAGCCATCTCCTCAGAAAGAACCATTTAAAGACATTGTTTTCTCTTCTTATTTTACACATGAGAAGAGAGAAGTCCACAGGGTATGCTAGGTGCAGACCCAGTAGCTGGTCATGGGGCAGAACCAGAATTCGCTCTTGAATTCCTTGAGCAGCACTGCTCAGTTACTTACATTGTTATTTTTCACCACGTGCTGGCTTGTGGTTCACGAGTGGGCAAAGAATGGGAAACAGACAGACAACACTTTTTATGTTATTTGTGTCTATAGTGGCTGCAGACAGTTTTGTCCCAGGGTCTCTTTGTGGTTTGCTTGCTGCCACTCTAAACTCTCCGGGGAATTTTCTCTGAAGCAGTCCACTGATCTTATCTTCTGCAGCAGGTACAAAGCATCGCGCTCCGCTCACAGACAAGCGTCCGCAAGCAGAACGCCCTCCACTTGAAGCCAATGCAGCTGCACCCATTTGCCTTGTAGTCTGTTCCCACGCCTTTGCCTTTAACTCACACTCTCCTTTGTATTAAATAAAACGAAAGCAGCATTATTTTCCTTCTGCATATGTTCTGACTTCTAAACTGCAAGGCAAAACATCCATACAGAGACATGGACAACTAGCAAAAAACTCTTGAACGATCATATAGGCTACCTCACCCCCACAATTACCACAAGCCAAGACTAAGACACGGTCAGCATGCAGACACCTCTCTGCTTTCTAAGTTCTTTCCTGACTCAAACTCTCTTCTCCCCTTTAGGCAAGAGCGTTAGGGTGCATTCATTCAGGAAATTTAGAATCACATCTTCTGCACACTTAAAGCGGTCACCTGTCCCCGCCCCCTAGAACACAGCAGGAGGGCAGTGGAACTAGGAGCACCTTCTGACGAGTAAATGTCCACAAACTGCAACTCCTGTTATAAGCACCTCTGCTCTCCAAGGTCTTTGCTTTGCAGATTCTGGGAGATAAGGCATCAAACAGAAGTTTGAACTCGGGAGAACACTAATGTTCTCAGAGCAAAAGTCCCTCTAAAGTTCTGCTCGCGTCCATGGTTCCAGGGTCTCGTTTTAGGTTTCACCTGCATTTTTCTGCACTCTCTTCAGATCAGCTACTTAATCCTTTCAATACTACTTTTGTTTACTATTTCCTGTCATTTTATTGTTGAATAAGGAATATTGACAAGATAGAAAGCTGGGACACCTGTGTGTGCATGTGTGTTTTTTTTTTACAGCTAAGTGTCTAGTTTGAGAATGTTTCCTGGAAACATGAGAGGTATTCACTAAGGGCTAGAGATGCTAAAACAAATAAACAAACAATAGATAAAATGATTGTGATGAAGCATGAAAGGAGTTAAGGCATCAAGCATAAACAGAGAATTGGCAAATGGATCATTATGTATGATACCAATCTTAATTTAAGTTGGAGCTCTTCTTTAAGGAAGTAATATGGCAAGACATATTTGGGCAAATGCTATGGTGCTTACAGAAAACCAGAGTGATGAAAATAATCCTGGTGTCACCTTTGTGCTTAGTTTTAATAAATCATGAAAGATTAACACAAATTGTTCATTACATACTCATTAAAATGATCATATCAAACATGTAAAAAAATGAATACTTATGGTAGGATATCATATGACTTTAGCAGAGCACAAAATACTATGTTTGCTATATAAAATTATACCACTAAAAAGTCAAAGTCAAAAATATGGATATACTCCCTGTTTTAGCAAGGATGCCTGTTTTTTTTTAAAAAAATTAGTTTATACTTGTTTGATCTTCTTAAGAAAAAAGAGATTTTACAACTTAAAGTTACCATTTTCCAAACAATTTTAGTATAGCACTTTTCATTAAAAAATTAAGTCATTTAAAAAAAAACCCAAAATAAACAGAAGAAAATCTTGAACCTTTAAGTCAGAAGTTCACAATCTGCAACCAGGATAAACCCATTTATTCCTTTCCTCTTGTGTAGCTCACAAAAGCAACTCTGGTTCCGGGAATCAGAAAACATGAAAAGGGGAGCAAAAGTTTGGGCCTCATCCAGTTTTGTTCCTAGCGAATGGATCCATAGAAGAAATATTACTATTTGAACATAACTGATTAATTTATTTTTCAGTTGGTGGATGTAAAGCTATTAATATATAACCATTCAATTTTAGACCCAGTAAATTTATATACTTTAAAAAAATTTTCATAGCATCTTTCTGCAAGTCTTTTCTTGCTCAGCTAAAAGAAGAGCATGCTTAAAGTTTTAAAGCTCACTACTTCAAAGGGACGTTTCCTGACCCTCCCGTGACTATTACAGTTCACCACCCAAGCAATGTCATTTTCCCTGATAGTACTTTTTTCCTATAGGAAACTATAGCAAACCTCTCATTTCTCTGTTTACCGTCTAGTCCCAGTGTGGAACCTGTAAAAGCATGGAGACCCCTGTGTTTGAGTCATACTATCTACACATGCTACTTGATGCATAACATTCTATAGGCTATTACATGGAAAGTCCATTCATTGTGCGTAGTTTTGCCTTGTCACATTCTGGTTTTGTTTTCTTGACTATTAAATCTTTCATTTTGGTATAAATAGAGGTGACTTTATAAACAGAAATCATGCTCCCACTTAAATATAATTATTTTGGCAATATGTTCGCAAAACAGCGTTCTTACTTCGTTCTCTTTCTTTTGACCCAGGAGAAATCAATGACGCAGCCAATCATAAGATGTTTTCGTTTCATAATGGAGGCGTACAGATTTCTTGTCAATACCCTGAGATTGTCCTACAGCTAAAAATGCAGCTGTTGAAGGGGGCAGAAGTTCTCTGTGATTTCACCAAGACCAAGGATAAAGGAAACGTGGTCTCCATTAAGAATCAGAAGTTCTGTCCGTATCAGCTGTCCAACAACAGCATCTCCTTTTACTTAAACAACTTGGACAGTTCTCACGGGAGCTATTACTCCTGTAGCCTGTCAATTTTTGATCCACCTCCTTTTCGAGAAAAGATCCTTAGCAAAGAATATTTGCATATTTACGGTAAGACATTGGTTGCTTTCTATCGTTGGGGCTTAAGAGTTCATGCACATTTCCAAGACTTTTCTCACCAATAGACACAAACAAGTATCTTTTGTATTACATCCTTTAGATGTAGTTGGCAACAAATCATCTTGGATGAAGTATGAAAGGAATAATATGTCCTTAATATTAAGCTGATATTTATTGTCAAATAAGTGATTTAGCTAAACATACTGTTGAGTTAGAGTTAGGGCCTAATCTTTCAAGCATCCAGACCATGGCTCAGTGAATATTACCTCTACTCACTTAAGGTTGAAAGCAGTTTGGAGAATGAGATGCAGTGATTTGAAAACCAGTTTTATACCATGTGTTTTCCTTCTTATTCTTTTTTTTTTATTGAGAAAAGGAGAAAAAAAAAACAAGTTTCCACCTCCTCCCAGCCTCCCATTTCCCTCCCCCTCCTCCCCCCCTACACCCCCTCCTCCCACCCTTCTCCCCCTCCCCCCACTCCTTTCCCCCTCCCTCTCCAGTCCAAAGAGCAGTCAGGGTTTTCTGCCCTGTGGTAAGACCTAGGACCTCCCACCTCCGTCCATATCTAGGAAGGTGAACATCCAAATTGGCTGGGCTCCCACAAAGCCATCACATTACGTAGGATCAAACCCCCGTGCCATTGTCCTTTGCGTCTCATCAGCTCTCATAGTTCGCCATGTTCAGAGAGTCCAGTTTTATCCCATGCTTTTTCAGTCACAGTCCAGCTGGTCTTGGTGAGCTCTCAATAGATCAGCTCCACTGTCTCAGTGGGTGGGTGCACCCCTCGTGGTCCCGACTTCTTTGCTCATGTTCTCCCTCCTTCTGCTCCTCATTGGGACTTTGGGAGCTCAGTGTTTCCTTCTTATTCTTGTGGAAGATGCAGATAGCAAGTCTCCACCTATTGGTCACATTTGTAAACTAGCATAGCCTTTCCAGTCTGAACTTTGGGGTCCTTGTTATAATGTGGAGGTGACGTTGGTTGAAATCTACTGGATCCTCTGATTGAAAGGAAGAAAACCCTTCCTTGATTAAAAACCTTCTTTCCATTTTATGAAAGCCTTCTCTATGCAGTGTTGAATGAGGACACAGTGTTTCTGGATATTTTATCAATGTATCTTTTTCCCTTCTCCAACCCAGAATCACAACTTTGCTTCCAGCTGAAGCTGTGGTTGCCCATAGGGTGTGCAGCTTTTGCTGTGGTATATATTTTTGGATGCATATTTGTCTTCTGGTTTGCAAAAAAGGTAAGTGATTTCTACTTTCCCTTATGCTCTTTCCTAGCTGGTTATAGACTCACCAATGTCTCAAAGTAACCTGAACAAAAGGGACACAATTCTTTTCTCCTAATTTATACACTAATTAAACTAATGACTTGGAACAGAGATTATCTGTTTGTTTCTTAATAGCTCACATCATCCCCCAAAGGACTTGGAGGCTCACAGAGATACATTATTATTTCTGCTTTTTTCATAAGAGGATAGAAAATTTGGGCCTATCACAGATAAATGTTAGGAAGGAGGTTTAAATATAAAAATAGGTGCCTTTGATTTTTAAAAATTATTAAATGTTGGATTAATATGGAGTGTACACTTCCTAAAAGTCAAGCCAAAGCTGGAGCAATTAGTTGTTAAGTTTATCTTAATGGGCAAATTGAAACAACGAGGTAATATTACTAGGTACCAATAGTAGCTAGGAGGGAAACTGCTTCTTTAGATGTTACATTGCCAGACTCCTTGTGTGTGTGTGAGTGAGTGTGTGTGTACCAGACAACCATTTGAGAAGGAGTTAGGGTATGCCCTAAAGTCCATCATCAAACTCTATTTAGGAAGGAATAATCAAGTCAAAAATGAGGATGAAAATGACGCAGAAAGCATTTTTAAAGATCTTCTCACTGTGTGTGTGTGTGTGTGCGCGCGCGCGCGCGCGCGCGCGCGCACAGGCATAAGAATCTTTTCTCTCCTTCCACTATGTTGGTGGTGAGGATTGAACTCAGGTCATCAGGCTTGGCAACAAGAGCTTTTTTCCTCTGAGCCATCTCCTAGTTCAGAAAGCACTTTTTAGCGGAAATATTTTGCATGTTGTTCAACTGAGCCTTTTGTTACTGGCTACTTCAACAAAAACCAGAAAGCACTTGGAAAACAAGCATGAAGGTGAGAAAGATCAGAAAAATAAACCATGTTTCTAACTTTCTTTTTCAGAAATATGGATCCAGTGTGCATGACCCCAACAGTGAATACATGTTCATGGCAGCTGTCAACACAGCCAAAAAGTCTAAATTTGCAGGTATGGCTTCCTTCAGAGGTTTGGGGGAAGGAGGGGTACTCTTCATGCTTGAAGTCATTTCTATATTTTTATTTTAAAAGAAAGGAAAACGTACCTAAGGATAATTTTAGTATCTTATGTGAAAACCTTGATTTTTCACTTTCACTGGGTTTTATCCATTATGTAGTATATTAAAAATAATGTCTGTAAATCCCTATTACAAAGAGATCATCAGGGTCAAATACGTAGTTAAGTTGGTAGAGTGCTTATCTAGCATATCTGAAGCCCTGGATTCAATCCCAATACCATGTAAAGGCACGGTGCTACCATAGTACTCCCATTACCAGGCCATGTAATCCACAGGCAGGATTACACCTGTAATTCCCGTACTCAGGAGTTGGAGGTAGGAGGATCATAAGGCCATCGTAATTTTCAGCTACATATTGAGTTTGAGCCCAGTCTGTGATATATGAGATCCTGTCTCAAATTCAGCAAGAAGAAAGAGGGAGGGATGGTAGAGAAGGGAAAGAAAAAAGCAGGCCACTTGATGCATCCTTGTCTCCCAACAAATAGTACAGAAAAGGCTCATTGTGTTCAGCTCATTGGTAGAGCACTTGCCTACCACGCATGAGTTCTTTGGTTCAAATCTTAGTACAAAAGAAAAAGATCCATAGGTCAGAAAGCTTGTTGAAGGGAATTCAGCTCATGTGGAATTTTTGTTACAGGCGTGACTCCATAATCTGGAACACTCTGGCACCCATGGAGGAACCACACTGACCAGTTTCCCTGATACTTGAACTGAGAAATTCTATTTTCTGGACCATGGGGCATCTGACTGCAGGAATCTCCTTCGGGTTTTTGTTTGTCTGGATCAGTGACTGCCTGAGACTTGCTGAGTTATTTTATGGCAAACCCCTTCTAATAGAAGGTCCAACTCACGAGTACTCAACAAACAGACCTCACTGGGTTAATCCACACACACACACACACACACACACACACACACACACACACACACGGCATCTGCTTCTAGCTACACAGAGGCCAGTAAAACAAGCACACCTACAACATTTTCACAAAAATCCAACGGTATTAATCTGCAGAACACACAAGCAGACAACGGTCAGCACCTGCCCTCATATTTTAGATTACTTTTTCTTGCTGTAGGGATCAGTATTCCTTCTAGAATCAGCCAGTAGAGGGAGATGCTTCATGACTGTAATTCTTGTGTTTCTAAGGTGTTAGTGTATAAAACACACTGAACTTCTAGACTCCAGCATTTCACTGTTGGAGGGGTTTAGATGCCTTCTCTTGCCTTCAGTTTTTCCTTTAAAGACACATCCACATGTCTACTTGGCAGCCTGCCGCCCCTGCAAACAGGAAGTTCAGTCTACATGTTTCTTCATTCTGCTGCTCAAAAACAGCAGTAGATATAATTTTCTCATATTCTTCCTGCCAAAGTAGTTTTTTTTTCCTCCAAAAACATCTTATTTTCTCAAATTCAGTTAAAATGTGTTGATATTAGTGGTAGGAAACATTGCTCAGAATCAAAAGCAAATTAATTTTGCTATTATGTTTTCTACCATTATCCACATTTCCATGGTGCTATTAATCACAAGCATAGCTATTTTTGTAGATCATATTATAGTTGCAAGCAAGCAAAGCAATCTGTGGTTAATGGACAAACATTCTTCTGGGGTAGAGTGAATTAACTGCTTAGCCTGCCAGCTGTAGTTTCTGGAGGTGACTACCAGACTGCAGCCACGTTTCCTCTGGGTTTGACAGACTGAAACCATTCCCATGAGCCTGGAGTAGCACTCCAGACTGAGTTGGAATCCCAAGGCTGTGAGAAGTCATCAAGTCTGGGACAAGCAGCTCCTTTGGACTCTAGGAGGTGTGAAGAAGCACAAAGGAGCCAAGACAGAGTTGCCTGTCCTAAATATGCAGCCTGGAAGTCAGCCCTGGCGCACTAGGATAGTCTTCTTTAGAACACGAGTTAGCTTTAAGGATTGCTCTGAGCAGGACCATTTTCTCCACATTCCTGTCAGCGTGCCTGAGGCTTCTGGAGCCGTCAATGTGTGTGTAACATTTTATTTTAACTTTAAGTAAAATAAGGCTGCTTCACAGTCTTAAATTGTAGTTGCCTACTTACAGTTTACTTCAAAAGTGAGACCTGATGTACCATTATATACTTATTACATTAAGCATGTGTAATGCTGGCTATGTACAGTACAGTACTGAAATTGTAATTTGAATCAAGTATGGTATTCTCTCTTTTCAGCTGACTCTGGCAGCCTGGCTGGCTTTGAAAGGGTATTCCCTGAGTTGGATATACCTTCCTAGGTGTGTGTGTGGGGGGGGGGGGGAGGGAGTTTCAGAGGCTAGCATTCACATTGTTCCGTGGAGGATCCCCAATCCCAACACTGAACAGTTAGTTAACCATGAATTATAAAAAAAAAAAATACAAAATTTCTGTGAAATAGAAACTGGCTTTAAGAGGAGCCACTTGTTAAAAAATACTAGCAAAATAAAAGTTAAATATTTGTGTCCAGCAATGGACTATAACCTTGCTGTGTTTTCTGTGGGCAAAGAAGTGATGACCTTAGTTAGCTACCACATACAAATTAGACCTTGCTCTCCAATGACCACGTATGCTGTATAATATAGTTGCTTTCTTCATCTTGCTCTCTCCCTTTTAAACATTGAAATATCTACAAACTCATAAGAAAACAGACATACAAAGGACAAAGAGTGCTCCGGCTTCTGAGTTACTTTCCCCATGGACCGCCGAGTCCCATGGAATGGTGCTTATTTCTTACAGAAAAGAAGGCTGTACTCTCAGATGACTTGACAGCCACCAACATCAGATTTCTATCTAGTTTTTGGTCTGCATTCAAGATCTGTCCCTTGTTTCTAGGATGCATACAGGAACTGGAAGTTCTGCTGGAGACTTCCCTTTGTGTGTAGTTGTTATGTCTCTGGAGTGTTTATTCTGGACAGTTCTTCAGTCTTTGGCCTTGGATCTTTTGCAGACCACCAGTCATTATTTTTTGAATGTCCCTTGTTTGAGTCACTCTGACGTTTCTTCATGAATAAAATCAGGTTATTCATCTTTATCAGAAGTAACAGAAGAGTGGTATTGTGTTCTTTCAATTGTGCCCTAAAGGGCAGCTCGCAGCTTTGGTTTGTTATGTTATTAACGATCATTTTCATCACTTGACTGAGGTCATGTCTCTCAAGCTTCTCCATTGTAAAGTGATTCTGCCCTCCACAGTTATTAAATATGCTTTGTGAGAAAGCATTATGAAATCCTCTGTTCTTCATTATAATTTCAGTTTATTCATGTGTTCATTTGTAGCTTCATGGTGTCATGGCTTCTTATTTCGTTCAATGTGTAAAAATAAATGTTAATATTACTATTCTATTTTCTTTCATTGCTTAGAAATAGTCTTCTGTGGCTCTGGCTGGCCCTCACATTTGCTAAGAATGACCTTTAATTTCTGATTCTTTGGCCTCTACCTCTGAGGGTTGGTATTGCTAGTGTGAGTCACAACACCTACATTTTTGGGATAATGGGGTTGAAATCAGAACTTCAAGAATGCTAGGCAAGTATTCTGTCAACTGAGTTGTATCTCCAATCCATTATTCTGTTTTGAAAATAAAGTTATTCCATCCTTAGCAGTCAGTAAAGAATACATTTGAAGTACATTGAAAGTCAAAGTCTAGGCATCAGTTATAATCATTGTTACTGGGATTTCCATTCTCTGAGGACCAGGCAGTGGACAGTGTTGGAGATAAATATCTATCCAGATTGATAGACAAATAGAAGCCAAAGTCTAGACATCAGTTATGATCATTTATTCTGGGGTCTCCATGCTTTTAGGAACAGGCAGTGGACAGTGAGGAGATATACATCTGTCCAGATAGATAGTATAAATACAGAGACAACCAAGATGCATATGTCCATGTCTGTGTATCTACAATACTGTGGACACATACATACCTATATTTGTACCTATTCAGAAATCTGTAAGTTCACATACATGCCATGGATCTCACACAACAAACACTTCATGGATCATTCTAGTTCGATATCCTTTTATTTATCTGACAGTAGGAAACCCTATTTTTACATTTTTAATACACTAATTATAGATTAATTCCTGGCATAAAACCAACATGGCATCCTCTCCTTTTTTTCTTCTGCCCTACTCCACATTGTATCTACTTGGGCACTGACTTTTGTGCCCATCTACCTAACCTTGTTACTCTCTTTGTTCAGGTTGAGCTCCAGTTCCCACCCTGAGCTTTCCCATTGCATGGATGCCCTTTTATCCTGTGTGGAGGTCTTACACTCCAGCCTGGGATTCCCCTTCCTTGCCTCACCCAATGCCACAGTGGACCCTGGGTAAAGAAGCACAGATGCAAGCTCTAGGCTGTACATTGGCCTGCAAAGTGTGTTTGAAGGGCCAAGTTTCAGTTGCCTACTTGGCTTACTAAATATCAATAGATATTTCTTCACCGACTTTCTTCTTTCCACAACTGTTAGTATTTTTTTTTCACTTGTCACAGATATTTCTTACAATGGAAAGCTGTTTCAGTGTTCCTAGGGGAACTCAAGTGTAAACACTACCTTTGATCTGTTGGACTGAGCCACCTCATATTTCCTTGCTCACTTTGCAACAGCTTCCACACCGTGGGGAAAAAGCTCTTCTTTAAGATTCTCCATAGAACTCTTTAAAATTCTATAATATTTCTGTGGAGCCACTGCCAAGTCATGGCAAAGTGTGACTGGCTTCCCTTACCCCATCTCCAGCATGGTCTCAGAAGAAGGGCTCTTAAGAATGGCTTCCCTTACCCTGTTTCCTGTTTCCAGCATGGCCCTGGGAGAAGGGCACTTATGAGAGTTTCAGTAACAGTGTCTTAACTTCCAGTGAACAAAATTCTACATCTTGTAATATTGGTTTTTTTTTTTTCAAATCAGTTCACAGTCCTTACAAGGAGAGATTTTTTTTTTAACTTTTGTGATCTAAATCCTTAACTCTCCATTAAAAAATAAAGACTTTTATCGGGTAGATAATAGAAGACAGGCTGTGCCCAGACTCTGTTGGTTAACCTTCCTTCTACAGAAAGAAGAGCTGGTGGATCTGCAATATTCCAGAAGACTGAATGCATCAGTGTCAACATCTACTCTCCTCTTCCAGGGCCTGTGCTTTAGGTAAGATGAGGAAGATGATGACTGCACTGCCCTTCACACCAGAAGGCAAGCAGTGGTGTCTTTCCCTCCACGCCATATTTATTTCTCTCTGCTTTGCTTGTTAGTGCTTCTAATTTCAGATTCTGAAACTTAACAGCTCACCACCTTGCAATATGTTCTGTCTATGACAGTGAGACAGACTGGCATCTGTCTGCCAACCCCTGTGGACTCTTCACTTTCTTGGTCTTTCAAAATCTTCCCATTGCTGTGCCATTTTGGGGACATGTTCTAATCATGACCCAGTATCGTCCCTTTTCCCTTAGGGTCCACACAAGAAGCCAGAAGCTGTGGTCAGGGCGATTCACTGGAAATATGATCCCTGAGAAAAGAGATGGGCACAAAGCATGGTTGTCTGGCCTTCTTTCTCCCAAGAAAGGGGTGCATCCATCTGTCAAAAGAGGACTACAAACAGCTTTGTGGTGCTAATAACACAGTAGCACCGACGTGTAGTCTCTGACGAGTATACTCACTCCTGAAGTGTGATTTCTCCTAGTATGTCTCAGTATTCTGCTATTTTGGCTCTATAGTAATGACCCAACATGACTGCAATGTATGACTGAACAATGTTGCAATTCCTTTTCAATCATTATTGCAATGATGTGGAGTCTACTGAAAATACTTTCTTGGTGCTAAATTACTTCATCTGCAGTCCAAACTCTTATATAAATTCCTGTTGACTATGGTTTCTGTCCCGTCCGGATCCCACGGTCGTTAGGTCC